TATAATTAAAAACATTAATAATAAGTTTTATAAAAATTTTATAAATTTTATAAATAGATAAAATACTAATAAATTATTAATAATACTAATAATAATAAATTAAAACATTTATATAAATTTAAATTTAATTTTTATAAATAAATATTAATAATTTTATTTATTAATTGTGCACAAATTTAGTTTCAACATTGTAATACAAAAGAATAATTTTTTATTATGATTTTCATCGAATCGATAACAGATTCTTTAGATAAGGTGAATCATATGATTAATCAACTGTTAAAGTCTTAATGCAATAGGTAATCTAGATACTGACACGTGAAACGGTATCATTATAACTATGACAATCTCTATCAAGATCCCTTTTTCATGGCCGATTAAATATAAAAATTAATACGATAGGAAAATTTTATACACGTGTTAATACTATTTTAAAATTGTTATAATATGCAAATAGAAATGTGGGAATGTGTGATTGATACAATAAAGAAAATTGATTTATAAAAAAATAATTTAAATATTTTCATTTTAATTAGAAATAAAAAATATAAGATTACAATTTAATGCCAAATAATTCATAAAAAATAAAAGATTACAATTTAATATCAGATAATTCATAAAAAAAATTTTCTCTTTAATTTACATTACAAAATTTGTTACTTGTTATTGTTACATTGGAAATTAAATAACAAACAATTTACATTACTTCCAGTTATAACACAGGTTTACAAAATGCATACTGTGTCAATTTAATATGAATACTATTATATAATACTTATAATATTACATTGAATTCCTTTTTTTAGTTACTTAATTTTCTATAATATTATAAAAAATATAGTACAATGAAATATTATACATATTTGCAATGATAACGTAATGAACAAGTGAGAAAAAAAATGTTATGAACGATACAATCATATCTATAAAACAATTCATTAACCAGTTAACTGTAATTGACGTGTATACTCGTCATAAAGAAGTGTAACGATTTTGTGTGATTAACGAGTATATTCGTCATGGCTTGATTCTGGCGCTATCAAACGAAGACGCCGCAGAGTTAACTGTGATTAAATTTATAAAAACAAACGTATCATTAAACTTCAATAGTTTCTTTTTGTTCTTCCGATGAATGTTTTTCATTTGTTTTATCAAATTTCCGATTACCAAAAGGTAACCATACTCCACTTGATAACCATAACAATACGCAAAACATACTCATTCCTGAAGTGAAGTGTAACGAACCGATATAACTTCCAGTAACATCATGCACCATACCTGAAAATATTTTATTAAATAAATAAACTAATAAAATTGAAAAATTGTTAAAGTAAAAAAATTCTAAAATTACTTTATAAATATATAAAGTAATTAAAAAATTAAACTAATAACTCAATTAAATGAATGAATTAATGTTATATTAACAAAAAAATAATTTATTAATTTTAAATAATATATTATTTTATATATATATATATAATATTTTAATAATATATTATTTTATTTTAATAATATATTATATCATATTAATATATTATAATATTATATTATTATTAATTATATATATTATATACGTGTGTTAATTTTATATTAACAAATATAATATACAGGGTGTTATATATAACTGTATTCACACAAACAATTATTCAAGTACTTGAAATAACCTGACAAAAAAGATACTTTAAACAAAAGTTGAACTGTTTTTGTTTGATTATAGATCGCAATAAAAATGTAATTTTTTTAATGACACCCTATATTTTTGATCTTACGATATTTTAATCCGTATTAATACGAATTCAACGAACTAGTGTAGCATGACCCAGTTATATGGAACACTCTGTATATATGATCGTTAAATATTTACCTATAATCGGTCCCATACTGATAGACAAAATGCCACTGACAACCATTTGAATACCTGATGCTGCTGGCAATCGTTCTAAAGGAACATAATCTGGTATGATCAAGGCTTGAAATACAGCCTTTGTACCTTTTGCTATTCCTACGATTACAGCTACTAGGATTACGGTTGGATAATTTTCACCCCAACTACATAGAACTACAAAAGAAAAGAGAAAACATTGATAAATAAATGAATCATTGAATTTACTTTGAAATGAATGAATAAAAAAAAATAAAATTTATTTTTATAATATGATTTCATGTTTTATATATTTTTCATATATTATATTAATGTTTTGTAATATATTTTATACTATATTAATATAATAATATATTTTATAATATATTAATTATATTTTATATTATTTATTATATTATATTTTATAATATTTTAATAATATATTATTATATTAATGATTTATATATAAAATTTATATACATAAATTTAGAAAAAATTTATATATAAATAAAATATTAAATATAAATATGACTAATTTGATAAAATACAATCGTTGGTGGTTGAATAAAATAAAAAAAAAACGAACATAAAAATAAATCAATAAATGAAAAATCGAACAATCACTGAGGATTTTGTTTGATAATTAATGTTATGTTTGATAAAAAAAAATGTTTGTGTGTTATTTAAATCAACCCACCACGAGATGAAAAACACTCTTGAGCTTTTTTTTAATTTTTTTTTCTCCATTTTCTATCATTCTCTCATTTCCAAATATTTTGTTTGTTTACGTTGATTTTACGTACTCGTCCTTCCTAAAGTGGATCCTATCAAGGATATCACGTAAAGATATCTCGGTGTCCAGTGGGCTTTTTGTGCGAGCAAAGGAACACAAAGACGTCCTGATATATCAAAGGCAGCTTGGATAGACATTATAGTGGCAATCTCATTTATATTTAATCCTGAAACTTTCTCTAGGACGAACGGTATCAAAGCATTGAAGTTTGTCTCGGCTACCAACGATATTCCCATACCTATTTTTTTATTTATTAAATTATTATTATTATTATTATTATTATTGTTGTGGTTGTTTTCTTATAAATGAGATAAGAAATAATTTTTCTGTATATTTTTTATTCTTAATTATTTCTAATTTAACTCTTATCTTGGTCGTCAGTCACGTAAGAAGGGACTTACAAATTAAAATGTTATAATTAATTAAATAATAATTAATTTCATATATTTGTAGTACTCTTCAAAAAAAAAAAATAAATTAAATAAGAATAATAAAAATAATAAAATTAATGAATAATAAATTAAACTAGAAATGTTATAATTAATTAAATAATAATTAATTTCATATATTTGCAATACTCTTTCAAAAAAATAAATAATAAATAATAAAAAATAAATAAATAAATATAATATAATAATTTTTAATAAATAATACATTATTCTTGTAATACTGAACAATTTTGTTACATTTACATTAATTAACTGAAACTGTCATAGAGTTACAACTTTTAGTGAGAATCATCAATATAAAAATTTGACGACCGATAAGGGTTAATATAAGGGATGTATAAGAAATGTTTTTACTTACCCAAAACCACTAAAATGTAACGCAGATCTTGTAAAAGTTTCAGATCTAAATTTGTCGAGATTTTATTCAAAATGTTACGTTTTTTTGTATTCGTTGCTTTAACATCTTCGCAATTAATTGCCAAATTATCTTCTTCTTCGTTTTCTTCTCTTTCTTCATTTCTTTCTGCTATTTGTTCACGATTGTTTAATAATCGACACTCAACATGGTTTTCCACGTCCTTTTTATTTTCCATTTCCATTTTTTTTGTATCCTCGTTTTTCACATTGTTCTCAGAAATAATTGAATCCTGCCGAAATAATATTAAATTAAATGATTGATGAACGATCACTGATATGTAAACAAAATATTGATTAATATATGTAAAAATTACCTTAGGGTTTATTTCATTATTATTTACGAAAGGTCTTAATAAACAAGAACCAATGAAAGAATTGGCAGCTATTCCGGTGAATATTAATAAAGTACCAGTAGTACCGTATTCGTTTAATAATTTCACTATCAAAAGTGGCATTACAATTGGACCAAGACCTGTGAAGGTTACACAAAGTCCCATTGCTATGTTACGTTTTTTTCTAAAATACGTATTAAGTGCTAAACTCGTACCAAAATAAATTATGCCTACTCCTATACCTAATTCAAAAAAGTAACATAATAGAAAATGTTATTTATTATTAATAAAAATATCAAAAAATACATATATATATATATATATATATATATCCTTAATAAAATAATATTAGGTTATTAACTATGAAATGTCTGATTACTCGTATTATTCTCACATCAAAATCAGACATTTCATATTTAATGACCTAATGTATATAATAATTATATATAATAATTTATTAAATATTTAATATATCAAATTACTAAATATAAATTAATTA